GAGTGATCCTAGTCCAGCCCCGCAAAAAATCTGATGTGAAAATCCGGTGGGCGTGGCCTGTTTTCTGAAATAGCACCCCCTAGGACCATTAAAACTGTCAGCCCCAAGCCATGCTTTGACTGAGGATTATGAAATTTGGTACACTAATTTGGTGTCTCAGGACCTACAAAAAAGTCGGCCATTTTGGTCCAAGTACTCGATTTAGTGGTTTTCGCACACATTGTTTGGAGAATGATGCCCCGTCGCCCTTTTCACCGATTGCCTTCAAACTTCTGCTATATTCTTCTAAGACATAGGGGAAAAAATTCAACCATCGGATTTTTCAAAAGTTGAAAGGTGTGGGCGTGGCTAAGCCTCAAACTTTGACCTGTTGCCACACCACTCTTTTTTTCACAGCTCCCTATTGGACTCCTTTTACCCAATCACCAGGAATCTCTGGCAAATAGCAGTAGACAACTTGAGGTCACTGGGTCTCCAGTACTGGCAGGTTTTGAAAAAAGGCGGGGCTTTGGGAGCATGGCCAAAATCGCCATCACGACATGGAAATACGTTTGCCTCTCATTTCTTCAGTTATCGTGATATCGCCACAAAAATTCTGGTGAATGATCCTACTCTGACCCCCAATAGAAATAAACAGCTGAAGTTTGTGGGCGTGGCCTATTTTCTGAAATAACGCCCCCTGGAGCCATTAAAACTGTCAGCCCCAAGCCATGCTTTGACTGAGGATTACGAAATTGGGTACACTAATGAAGTGTCTCAGGACCTGCAAAAAATTCTCCTGGAGCCAAGCCCAAAGTCGCACAGGAGGTCGGCCATTTTGGTCCAAGTACTCGATTTAGTGGTTTTCCCACATGTTGTTTGGAGAATGATGCCTCGTCTTCTTTTTCACCACTTGCCTTCAAACTTCTGCTATAAACTCTTAAGACATAGGGGAAAATTTTCAACCGTCGGATTTTTCAAAAGTTGAAAGGTGTGGGCGTGGCTAAGCCTCAAACTTTGACCTGTCGCCATTACATTACTTGACTTAATAACTCCCATGTGCATGATCAGATCTATATCAAACTTTGTCTGTGTGATCACTGACCACATCTGAAGACAATAACAATGTGGACAGCTGACATCACCTAAGTCCCACCCCCTGACTACAGGAAGTCTATTGTTTTATGATGAAATGCCCATATTTGTCCCCTCTAATTTAGTCAACATGACACTAAGGTCATGCACTGTCTTCAAGATGCTGTAATGACCATTCAGATCCGATAGCTTTCCAGATAGGGAGGGGCTTTGATACCATGGCGAATTCTGGCGTGACGCCGTGACCTTACGTTTGACTGTAACTTCCACAAACAGCCTCCGATCTGCCCGAGACTGAACATGGCAATGAACAATCATGCCCTTTAGCCAACGAGGCACAAAAGGGTGGTGAACATTATATACTATCACCACAGCGCCCCCTACATACCTTTAAAATTGTAATAACTCCTACAGACGAGGTCGTAACTGCACCAAACTTGCTATGTGTCATCACACTAAGGCACCCAACACAATCCTGTTGTAACTGGTTGATATCGCTTTAGCTCAGCCCCTGACAGATATTAGGCCCTGAATAACACATGCATGATGAAATTCACACCAAACTGCACACAAATGACTGTTATCAACCTACAAACTTCTTCATGGAATATTTCCTAAATTTGGGACAGCGCCCCCTAGATACAATAAAACCTTTGTAACTTCTGCAAAAAAGCTCCAAACTCTATCAAACTTGGTGGGCGTCACCACTCAACTGCAATCAACACATGTATGTGCTCACTTGTTCAAATCACTTTAACTCCGCCCACTTACAGCTTTTTGTCTCTAGATGACCCATGCAACGTTTGATTGATGCCAAATTAACAGAAAACCATCTTTGATGATCAAAGATGACCTCTATGGGATTTAGTTGTAAATGGTCACAGCGCCCCCTAGATGGGTTCAAACTTTATTAACTTCTAAAGACAAAGTCAGAATGGCATTATACTTGGCTTGTGACATCACGTGACTGCACCAAACACATTGATGTGGTCTTGGTTCAAATCCCTGTAGTTCCGCCCCTTTCAGCTCACTGGCTCTAGAAAGAACACACAACGTCTGATTGATGCCAAAATAACAGAAAACCATCTTTGTCAACCAAAGCTGACCTCAATGGGATTTTTCTGTGGTTGGTTACAGCACCCCCTAGATAAATTTAACCTACAGTAACTTCAAAAAACGTGATTAGAAAAACACTAAAGTTGGTCTGTGTCATTACACCACCAGTGTGGTAAAGATAGAGTATGCCCTAGTAGTGAGACGTGTAATATAATGGTGGGCTCAGAGGGTATAATGAGTCAGGGTAAGGTGCAGACGAGGTGACCGTTAGCGGTTTCTGGTGTCGGGGTGGTCGAAGTTTCTGTTCCGCGGACGTGCCCTGGTGCCCCGGGCTGCCGGCCAGGCCGGAGCAGTGCGGAGCTGCAAGGGCCGAACGTTGCTGCTTGCAGCTTTAATTGTGTGTTGTTTTTCTCTTTCTGCAGGTCTAGAAGTGGACTCTTGTTCATCATTGATTGTTTATTTTTGTGGACCCCCCCCCCCCCCCTTCATTTTGTCTCTTCCTTTCTCTTTCAGCTCTGTCTCTGTGTCTGGTCTGAATTATAAAGCATCCAAAAAACAATAACAATAAAGTTTTAAGTATCAGGCGTGACATTAAAGCAGAAGCTTTGATGGTCCACCTGAGAGTAAATCTGTAAGGCTTGTCACCATCGTTCAGACATTAATTCTGTTTGCTTCACAGCCAGACAGGACACGAAGAAATATATTGTTTCACATCAGTAGAGGTGTACCTTGTATTCATAGGCTTCAATATAACGGATCAATCCTAGATTAACCAGCAGGGACCCAGTGTGTCTAGCCTAGTGGTCAGTGGGTGGGGGTTAACTGGGCCATCACTGAGCCACAGTCTGATCATTTAGAATCTGTCGGTAAGCTAACACCAGAGCAACCAGAGAAAACCATAACACACTCCCGGAGAAGACACAGGAATTCCCCAGCTGAGATTTGCAGCAACCCTCTTACTGTGAGCCCCTGCTGCTAATCCCAACTGGCCCTGCTGCCAAATTGGCATCATATTTGTTTACATTTAGATTTTTATTTTTTGATGTTGCCTAAAGTCAAAATAGTATATATGGACTCATTCGCTAACAGGTTCTAAGTCCTGATCCAGTAGGTGGAGAAATCATCTGATCTTCAAAACAGGCTTTTGATTTGTGTCCTCAGTACGTCTGGTTCTCTTTCTAATGGTAGCAGAACAGCTGGTTGGTGGTCTTCATCGCTCCAGCTGTTGCACAGATCTTCTGGCTAAAATGAGCTATAATCTCTTTAGAAAACCACATCTTCAGCAAGGCCTCTTTAAAACCGGATTCATGATAGAGGATGGCTGGTTCTGTCTCCAGTGGGTCTGGGTCTCCAGACAGCATGTCAGAGCAGGAGTTTATGGTCCTATCTGATTTCACTTGCAGCCACCAGTGGTGAGCACACCTGTCCTTCTGAACAAACAGTTCTTCTGAGCCATCCAGATCCAAGATGCAGCACATTACTGACCTCAGTCCACCCAATGGGGTCTGGGTCCGAGGTCCCTGCAGGATCAAATAGAGAATGTGTGTCTTCTCTTAGCAGTGAGACCATGGACATAATTTTCACTTTAGAAGGGGGGGGGGGGGGGGGTATCTTTACAGTATGCTCTAATGGGAAACCGGCTTCAACACAAACGATTGTTTCCGCGTGGTCCTAGAGCTCAACCATTGTCAATTTAATATAGCGTAATATTGTTTTTGAATGGTAAAAAGTGCAGGGGTCAAAACTTGACTTTGGAAAAAGTGTGTGTGTGGGGGGGACATGAGTTGGTTGAAGATAAATCTCTGACTCAGCAGCCTTATTCAAATCCAGGAGCATCTTCCTTCAGTCCAAGGTTTCAGGACCAGATAGCTTGATCTGGTCTTCTACAAGGTTCTAATAACCTTAAGTCTGAAAAACACCCAACAGACTCACTATGTTGTTATTATTGAAAAAAGAACAAAAGCTGCATGAACATGTAAGTCCAAATGATGAGGTCCAGGGTTGCTGATTAATAGATCAAAATTTCAATAATTTGATCATGGTTGAGCTGGAGAAGAGGCCCACACCCTCCAATCTGACTCCACCAGCATAAGATCTGACTGTGCTCATGAGATGTTCGTGCTGCACATACAGGAACACAAAAGAATAAAAACCCAAAGATTGTGAGGTAACACTGAGAGTAACATGAACTATGACAGGTTCTGTCACCTAAAATGGACAAACGAAATAGAGGACAGTGCTTCGAAGTCAGGTGATTGTGTAAAAATGTAGATCATCTGTTTGTTCATCCATCTGTTTTTGTCCACTTATTGGATCTGGGTGCAGCAGCCCCAACAAAACCCATGATCCACTCCCTGGCCAGCCTGGAGAAATTATCCCTCCATTAAAATAAATAAATCTCATCTGTCATCCATCACCAGAGGAATTCCACTGAGTCTGATCACTGGTCTACTGGAATAATGTTCCTTATTTTTGTCTGAACATAATCGCATCTGCTTTTATTAATATTAATAATGTTTTTCTTTTCTCAGGTAGGAAAACAGATGTGAACACTGGACTTGCTGTTTGACCCAAAGCCTCCGCGGCCTGATGATGGTCAAAGCCACAGTAACGCACCTGTGCAGGTATGGGGTTATAGCGCCGCCTACCGGACAGGGAGGACTCTTATCCTATTTATTGTCCAGATCCGCTCAAACTCACCCAAATTCAGCTTGGGTCCCTAGAGGACAAACACCTGGACATAGACAGTTTGTTCTGGTCCCTAAACCTTCAGAGTAGACGAGCCAGTCTGAGACGAACCTTATTCTGATCAGAAACTGGTTCTCCAAAACCACATCTGTCCTTTACATCAGAGAACTTCTAAAGTGTACCTGGTTAGGGCGGCTTCCGGTCCACCAGCGGTTCCACCTGCAGGTCCAAATCACAAAGCTGGAGTCCAAAGGTCTACCGGAGCGCTCCGAACCGTCCCATCAACTGATTTGGTTCTCACTCACACTCAAAACACTGGTCCGGCTGCATGTGTGACGTCATCCATGCACCAATCACATGCTCGAGCTGTAGAAGCGGCTTCAGAGACAAAGAAGCATCCCGAAGTCGTTCCTATGACCAGTGGCGGAGCTTGATATGTGCAACATGTGCGGCCGAACAGGGCGTCAGTCTGCAGGGGGCGGCATTTAATTTCCTTTTTTTTTTTTTTTCTAAATTTTTTTTTTATTTTTAGCATCAACCAATACATAAACAAAACATAGAAATCACATGTTCATATTAATAATAGTGATGATAATAATAATATTTCTTTAATAAAAGCACAACAAAGTGTAAACCATATCAACTACTCCCTGTCACATGACCCACGTCAGCTGATGTGAGGTCCCTCTCCTGATTGGCTCCTTCCAGTCGCGGCAACCATGAAAGCTGCTCCTGCCGGCTGCCGTGGCTGTAAGCTTGTTGCTTTAGAACGGCGTTGGAAAACAAAGCGTTTTTCTCCCCTCAATTCATTTACACTCTCATTTTACCTCAGCGGTAAGTGTTCTTAACATCTACCAATAATACCCTTTTACTTGTCAGTGACCAGTCGATCGTTTTCGCTATAAAAAATGACTTTGTTCGGTGGAGTTCCCACCGCGAGCAGAACTCCGGTTCAAAAACGCTGTTTTTGAAACACTTTTATTTACTTAAGCACTTTAATGGGCTTAACTTGAAACCAAGAGCAATCGAATGATTATTGTTATGTGTTGCCTTGAATTCGGCTATGCTGTCTGTCAGACAGTTGTTTTCCTTTATTGTTGTTTTTGTATTTGTTTGTAGCAAACGCTACTGGAATGCATAGATTGAGCTACGTAGCCAAGATGATTAATAATTGACCTGTTGTACATTCGTGATATGTTTACCGGTAAACTGAATAGAACTTGATGTGCCAATGAACGTTTCTCTGGCCTACAGGTCAGGTTTTTTTTCCCCATGTTGAATTGATCTTCTTCATATTGAAGTGGCGAGCTGGTAGGACCATTCTTTCTTTTTGGAATCGGGAAATGAGCTATTATTTACCCCATGAAAAACGGAGCGGCAGCGGGCCGCTGGAGGTGCCCTACTAGTATGATCCCGTTTAAACTGTTAACTGCCATAAAATAAAAACTATAATAGCTAGAGCGGTCTTTTTTTAGCTGAAAGTTGAGACTCTCGCCTTTCAGCACATCTGTACTGTACAAGTCGATGATGCCATCATGTTGCGTTAAGTGTGTCTATTTCAGTAGAACTTTGACAAGTGGTGAGAAGGTGGCCAGGAGCTGGATGTTGTATTCAGTTAGCAAACGTTGTTATATTTACACTCCACGCAATTTGAAACAAAGTTGTAGGTGTAATGTTTTTTCGTGTGTGTGTGTGTGGGGGAGGGGGGGGGGGCGCGTCACAGGGGGATCTCGCACAGGGCGCCATTTAGGCCAGCTCCGCCTCTGCCTATGACATCGTGAGGGATTTGTCTCCAACTCCAAAAGTCTTTTCTGTCAGAGAGAGAAAACTGCACTGTAACGTTCAGGAGCAAAAAAGATAAATAAATAAACCAAACAAACACACGGAGACTGTAAACAAACATACAAATGTTCTTATTGTCTGAGCTTTTGAATAAACTGTAAGCCATAATCATCATCACAGTTGAAAAAGGCTTGAAATATCTCTGTAAAGAGTATATCTCATATTCACCTTGAAATTACTGACATAAATGTATACATTTAAAACTGCTGGGTTAAAAATAACCCAATTTGGGTTGTTTTGTAACCCAGGTGCTGGGTCAAAAAGGGACCGACCCAGTGCTGGGTTATTTTAACCAAGCAGGGTTGGGTTATGAGTTTGACCCAGCTTATTGGGTTATGCTTTCTACCCAATCAATGGGTTAAAATGACCCAACTGTATAGTTAGGACTACCCAAAACTGGGTTAAAAATAAAACCCAACTTCTGGGTTATTATATTACTAAAACTTGGGTTAAAATGACCCAATTTTATAGTAAATACAATACAATAACATACAAATTGAATAATTCAATAAAACAAAATGAACATGTCTCAGTCAAATCTTTATCACAAAAATTATGTTAATTTTCAAAATACAAAGATAACAAATAAAGTTGCATTTTCTACTTTCTCTAAACATGCGTTCATATTCAAACTTGTTACTGTAAAAAGAAAAACCCCATTGAAATTAAAAAAATTGATGTCCAATGGTCACATCCAAAATATTTGACTTCATAGAATCCAAATTGAGTCACTTGATATGACCTGATACTTTTATGTTGATATAAACAATATTACTAGACTAGATCGAAACTTTAAATTTTGCATTGATCGAAATTGATTTTTTTACGTAGAACCATATTTTAATTATTGAACCAAGCTAATATATTGAAATTTAACCAACCTAATGTATTCACATCGAACCAAATTAACATGAACTAATATGTTTGTGTTGAAGCCGGGTAATTGATTTACATATATTCAAACTATATTTTTTACATTTCATTTTATTTCAGTTCAAAAATGCTCTGCATTTCCTATAAAAACAAGACAGTTGGCCAACCAATTATTTCAAAATTATTTATTGTTCCAAACCATTTTAACTGTAATCAGTAGAGAGGATTAGTAATATAAAGATTTAGTCCTACGGCAGAAATGATTAGAGAAATGTTTGTTTTATAAAACCTGCAACCTTTAGAAAACCAGTATAAAACCTGCAATCTTTAGAAAACCAGTCTAAAACCTGCAACCTTTTGAAAACCAGTATAAAACCTCCAATCTTTTTAGAACTGGTATAAAACCTGCAACCTGTGTAAAACTGGCATAAAACCAAAACTCTTTTTAAACCAATTTGCAAGTACTCAAAAATGTCTATATGTGCACTGTGCCTGTACAATGTAAAAAAAATCTACACATGTATCAATGAGATCAACTTAAATCTCCCTTTGAAATGGGTGTTCTTATAATTTTTGAATGTAGAACACCACTGCAGGCCAACCAAGCAAAATAGCCAAGCACACATGCACATGCATGTGCACATACACATGCATGTGCACATACACATGCACACATGCATGCAAACACACTACTGTGCAGTGTTAAGTTCACAATTAAGTTTGCGAATCTTACCCCGGCTTTCCACAGGAGCCGTCAGCAGCACGTTACTGCAGCAGCACGTCATAGCTGCTGATAGGAACCGCTGTGGTCAACAGAACCTTTTCCACTGGAGCCGTCAGCAGCGCGTGTCGGCCGCGTCTCAGGAGCAGCATGTCGCGGCCTTTACGCGCCGGCTCTATTTTCGACGCGCGACGCCTCTGAAACGGGTCAAGTTCGACATTTTTGGAGAAGGAAAGACAGGAAATCGGACGCGGAAATGGAGAGAAGCTCCAGAGATTTTCAGAATAAAGAACGTACTGTCTTCCGGTTGCTTTAATTTTAAAAAAGGTTACTAACTGTGCGGCCCCGTGAGAAGTTATCACAAAGCAAGCGTCTCCTTTGTTTTTCAGGTCCGTATTGGCGATTATAAAATGGACAGAACATAAAACACAAACCATGTTGTAATTTTCTCCTGCTTGTTGTTGTGTTTACTGACAAAGTCACTCGTGTGACTTCGTGCTTGGTCGGTGACAGCTGCTCCCCTGCTGCTTCGCGTCTCGTGGGAAGGGCCAAGCAGCAGCTTACGCGAGCAAGACGTGCTGCTGCAGTAAAGTGCTGCTGACGGCTCCCGTGGAAACCCGGGGTTAGAGGTCATCTTGTTACAGTCAAGCTCCATCATAATCTTTTGAAGAGCCTCAAAGGTGAACCTGAATCCTCGTGGATATTCCATATTAAGAGCATAACAGAGTCCAAAGACCATTGCCACTCCAGCTGACACAGAAGACAACTCATTCAGGACTTCCACACCATCAATGATTATCCCGATGTCTCGAGGCTGATGTAGGAGGCTTGAGTTGTCCCTGAAGACGAAGAGTGCCATGGTGGTACTCTGCAGCTCTTCCTCAGCTTCATCTTTCTGGGATATCTTGAGGTAAAATGTGGAACAAAATGTACAAGTGAAGAACTGAAGTCTGGCACACATGATAAATCTTTGACCATAATAAACTACTATTTTGATAGTTGCTTGGTCACAGACTGTTAGAACAATTATTTGACTAATCAGATTGTGAATTGCATAATTATTAAATTTAATCAATGGTGGAACATTTTCATAAATGTTCCACAATGCCCAAGAAAAATAAGAAAACAATACGGAACCCTAAGATATTAACTTGATGAGTTGATTAATCGTTGCTGTTCTACATTAATCACTGCATTTAATAGCAGAGTTGTCAAATTTACATCAAGAGACAGAACAGATATGGACATACCATGTATTCTTTTATCAAGTCCTCAACACGTTCTCCAAGGTAGATTATGAGAGATTTAAGTAAACACTCCCTCCTAATGTCAGCATCAGCATCCTGCAGGAACAGTTAAAATTGTTACTATGCAATATGGATAGTATGCTGCATGAAAGGAATTTTATTTCACCTCTCAGATGGAGCGATCTGTGGTTTTGAAAGCATACAAAAAAAATGTTACTTCTCTATAAAACACATAACAGAAAAACCAAGAAATACGTAACATGACATACACATCCTTATAAAAAGCTAGTACTATAATTTGATTTAGGTTTACCAGTCTACAGACCAGCCATTAGCGACTAAGTTTGGCATAGGGTCAATTTTTTGCTGTTAAAATTAAAATTTCTTCAGAAAATGCACATTTTTCCGAGCCGTGCCTGAAGTCAATTGAAGGAATTAGTCTTATGTCATTCATCTTATATGCTGGCGGGTTATTTCCGTCTCTAAATCATGCACATTAATAATAATTATAAGATATTTATATGAAGAGAGACAGAGACAAACGTGCGCGCACAAACACAAGCTTGTGTCTAGAAACTGCGAGATCACCAGAAAAATTCAAACGAAGCGGAGCACGGAGTTATACTATGAATGTTATGAACTATGAACTTATGCTAGCTAGCTGTATCCACCACCGATGCATCGTGGTAACGCTAGCTAGTTAGTAAAAAAAAAAACGGCTGGTAAAAAAAGGCTATTTGCCTAACTTGCATTTCCTACTAAGATGGTCGGTTGCTGGTAACCAGTTCTAACGTCGTGTCGGATAGCTAGCTAGCTTGTAGTTAGCAGCTACAATCATGCAAAAATTGGGGGTGGCTGTCGACCTAGCTTAAATGTGGTTATTTTCTGCAATTTTGGCAATACAAATTATAAAAGCTTTTGTAACACACTTGGCTTTACTTACATTTATTTTCAGATGAAATTAATCAAAGATGTGACACGATGTTTCCAGCAGCCATGCAGAACAAAAATGGGTCCCGGTTTCTGGTGGGCGTGTTCAAGTGCAAATCACTTTGACTCAAATTAAAGATATTATCTGTTCAGCATGAAAATAAATATATGTTTTGAGAGAAATCAAAAACTTTGTGTTGTGTCCTTTGTACAGATATTTAGTTTCATCCAAATGAAAAGTGGTATTTTAAAATGCAAAACCATACCATACCATTTTATTTATAAAGCGCATTCAACATGGCATTACAACCAGACAAGGCGCTGTACATTAAAAGATTACAGTTAAATTAACACGTTCAGAATGACATTTAAAGCATAGTTTATAAGAAAAAATGAAAACAAGAAAATACTCGAACTAACAGTCGTAAAACACTAAAAACGCAAAGGAATGTGAAACAACAGATAAAAACATATGAAAGAACCACAGTAATACAGATGTTAATTATTGTGCATTCTATTGTAGAAAGAATGCAGATGTCGAAAGTGGTCCATGATTATGTATTATATGCAAGGTTGAAGTAGTGAGTTTTCATGCGAGATTTAAAAATGCTAATTGTTGGTGCTTGCCTCACTAGTAGTGGTAATGCATTCCACAGCTTGGGAGCACAGACAGAGAAAGCCCTTTCTCCACGGCTTTTCAGACGTGCGTTTGGAAGAGCTAGGAGGAGCTTATCCTCAGACCTGAGAGCACGAGGCGGATTGTAGTAATGGACGAGTTGACACAGATATGGAGGAGCTTGACTGTTCAGGGATTTATAAGTGAGCAGCATGATTTTGAAATTGATCCTGAGATGAACGGGCAACCAGTGGAGAGATTTTAGAATTGGTGTAATGTGCTGTCTTCTGTCAACTCCAGTCAGGAACCTAGCTGCTGAATTCTGGACTAGCTGAAGTCTAGATTGAGCTGCTTTACTGATGCCGTATAAGCAGGAGTTGGAGTAATCCAGCCGTGAAGTGATGACTATATGTGCTATATATATATATATATATATATATATATATATATATATATATATATATATATATATATATATATATATATATATATATATATATATATATATATATATATATTATTTCAAAAAGAAAGGGTTTCACAATCAAATCAATGATTTTATTCTGTTTTGAATGGAACTTATTAGATTGAATGAATGACTGCATGTTAGACTTTTTTCAGTGTAAATGACTACTAATTGCATTTTTTTAAATGACAAATATTAAACATTTCGTAACTTGTAATGTCTTAAACACGTTAAACAACTTCAATGGAAGAACTGTAGAGAAGTAAATGTCCATCAACACCCAACACTCACCTTAATGCTTTGGCCAGCAGAATATCAACGTTACATCATAGCAACATGCTTCATTAGATTCATGATGTAAAGATAAATGTCTGAATAAACCCCCAAATCTGTGCACGTGGTTTTGGATAATTGACATCAACACAAAAAATGTTTAAGAACAGATGGGTATTCCAGTTCCATTGATGATCACAAATTCTTGGGAACATCGATGGTCTTCTGCAGCCATAAGGACATGTGGTGCTCCGCTGTGGTCCCATTCAGGTTCTTCACCAGACTGGTTCCAGTCTAAGTTGAGAGGGATAGAGGAAAAAAAGAACAGATTTAGGCATAAAGGTTATGATTTCACAAACAGATGTTGAAACATATTTGGAGTGGGCTGTGAATGATAACTGAAGTAAAAAATAACAGAACTTACAGGTTGGAAGTCAGTGAAGGCCTGCTGAACCTCTGCTTGGTCGGAACACTCTCCTTCAACTTGTATGGTGCAGTTTGGAGAAGCACTGGCAGCAACAACAAAGCCACATCCACCCATTTGTCTGTAAAATTAAAATGTGCAACATTATTCACATGACTGTAGCATAAAGGCCCTCTGCTGTTAGCAGGGATGCAACCACTGGTATAAAATAGCCAGAAGGCCTAACGTCCCTCAGTAGAGCCTCACTATGTCAGGGAGTGTGGACAGAAGATCACAACATTTTCCAGAGCACTTGTGCTGTGGATTCTGTGTTACATTCTATCTAAATATATATATATATATATATATATATATATATATATATATATATATATCGATGCTAGGAAGCTAAGTAGCCAGCTACCTAATCAAAACTGAGTTGATTGTTTTGGAACAGACAGGTTAAAAATCAGTTACTTTATCAACTACATGTCCAATTTTAATGAAATTAATCTTTAAACTCTTTATTAGTAACGTCTTACCTTATTTTAAATCCTTGCTGGTGTGAAGCTCCATTAATGTCCATGTCATCCTCTGGTTTAAAATGGTGAAGCGGGCTCACAGACAAAGGGGAGGATCTTACTATTTCCCGCATTTTTTAACCCAATACGCTGGGTCAGAATTTTTAACCCAATGATGTGTTAAACTGACCCAACCTCTAACAATTCAGCCTTAACCCAGCAGTTGGGTTAGAAAAATAACCCAGCATTTTCACTCTTCGACCATTTTCTAATTTTTTTATTTTATTTTCACCTGTCCCACTTGGGACCATACATATTGCTTTTGCTGCTTGCACGCCAATGTAGTCTGTATCTAATTCTACACCTGGTCCATGGTCACATCCATGGTCACATGATTATGTGTGATGAACTTTTCCTTGCCTCCTTTACTGCTGCTTTCATCTCATCCAGCAGATCGCTGCTCATCAGTTCCAGAGCCTGATAATGTAGCTGGCCAGCCAGCCCCATTGTCCTCTGTAGAGTTAAACAGAGGACGAGCCTGGCTAGATCATGTGTGACTTCTTCAGTTTAAGTGTGAGTTTGAATATTCATTGAGCTAACTTAGTCTGAATCTTACTGGGAGTAGTGTCCCCCAGCATGCTCATCACCCAGCGTCCCAGAGTTCCCCAGCATCATCACCACCCAGATTCCCACTGTCCCACAGCATTCCAGTGTCCCGCAGCGTCCTCAACTTTGTCAGCATTGTCTGATTCCTCCATATTCTTTTACAGATGTTGCACTAGGGTCAGTATGAGTTGACAACGTCATCAATTTCAAATGTTTTTGTTGTTGATTTTATGGTAATCTATGGTTGACTGCATGTGTGATCAAGCTTTACTGCTTCTATGAAACCATTTTATTGTCACGTGACGTGTGGCCTTATTGGTAAAGCTGCTTTGTGTGCAGCGCTTCCGTTGGAGAAGCATGAACTTTATTCTGAAGGTCCTGACCGGATGTGATGTAGCTGATGAAGTGTAACTTGGCACCACCATCGCAGCGGTTTGGTGTGGTTACAGGGGCGTGTCCGCTTCATCCGCATCGCTGGAAGAAGGAAGCTTAGCTCACTCAATCATGGCGCAGAAGCTCAAAGAAAGGTTTGAGAAGTTTCTCCACGAAAAGAATCTTCTGACTGATGTTCTGGGTAAAGTCGAAGCTAAGACCGGAGTAAACAGGACGTACATCGCTCTTGGTGAGTCAGGGAACCATCGGGAGGGAGGAAAGAAAACAGCGCCATCTAGTCTGGTAAACAGGCGTGCTAACGAACTAGTAGCTACAGCTACATATCAGAACGGTCTTTCTCTCCTTTGGGGGGACTTTAAGTAAATCCTTGTTATGTGTATGACGTCAGCCGTGTTTACTTTTACTGCGAGGGGAGTAACAGTCGGTTTGTTCCAGGTGTGCTCGTGGTCATCGCTGTCTACCTGGTCATCGGCTACGGAGCCTCCCTGCTGTGCAACCTCATCGGCTTCCTTTATCCTGCCTACACATCGTAAGAGGGGACACACACACACACACACACACACACACACACACACACACACACACACACACACACACACACACACACACACACACACACACACACACACGCACACGCACGCACGCACGCACGCACGCACAGTCCAAAAACAAATAAAATAACCTAAACACGTTGAGAATGATTTACTTGGATTAGATTAACTGATTGGTGACTTTTGACCTCCAATATTAGAAGTGAGTGTCTATCTTTGTCCTTGTTGGCCTGTAACATTAAAAGAATAAATAAATCCTGTCGAAATATGTTTCTGGGTTATCATCTAGTCCGAGCATCAGTCCCCATTTCTCTGAACAAATAATGCTCAGGAAGTTATTGAGTCATCAAGGAAACTTTAACATGGCTGACAGAATCTTTAAGCCACATCATGTGATGAATAATGAGATGACATCACTGGCTACGTGTTCAGAGTGGAAGCTGTTGCCATATCAACAACATTTCCTGTTCACTGATCACTCTCCTGCAGTGAGAAATGTAGTTTTGCAACATTAATCTGATGTGATCTCTTCCATGTTCTTAAGGGTTCTGAAGTTTAGAAAAACATCTAACAGATTCCTCCGTGTTTCTTTTTAGAGTAGTAGTAGTAGTAGTAGTAGTGGTAGGTTTATTATCAGGACAGCGGATGTTTTTAACAGGAGTATATCTGTAACATCCCAAAATTAGCCAAAGGTAATTTTCATCTGTTTTCCTGTTGGCCAGTTATATGATGGTATTCTAGGGAAAACAGTACATAACAATAAAAGAACATAAATGAATAAAAACATAGGTAATCCCATTTGGATTGCCCCAACAGTATAAATGGAATATCTGAGCAAAAGCAAGGAAAACAGCCAGCTCATGTATGACACATAATAAACTATAGTAAAGCTGTGATTAGTCCATAAAAGCACCACATTTGTAATGATGCAGTATATAAGATGAAGAAGAAGTAGCACCCACTAGAATTATTACATGAGAAAAAAACAGTAGACCCCATTAGTGGTTCTTTGTTCTTCTGTTTGTCAGCATTAAGGCCATTGAGAGTGCCACGAAGGAGGACGACACCAAATGGCTGACCTACTGGGTGGTCTATGGACTATTCAGCGTAGCAGAGTTCTTTGCTGACATCTTCCTGTCCTGGTTCCCGTTCTACTACTTTGGGAAGGTAATCCCACTGCACACCTTCATAATGTAATAAGCTGAAAACATTCAGCATTACTTTATATCAGTGCTTCCCTATCAGTGAGATGCTGCGAGCCAATGCAGGGGAAACACTTCCATTACCATTAAAAGTGTGGCTACCGAGCAGTTAGCTTAGTATGCTAACTGAATGCTAAACCCTGATGTGCTTTTTAAAGCTGTTATGGCGAATCTACAGAACAAGGCTGGGTTTTGAACGCATTGGTCACAGAACATTCACCCGTCCCCTCGGGTATCTTCCCTGAGATGCTTCTGCTGGAACCGAAAACCCGCGATGTTGGAGGGAACAAGATAGGGCTAAATACCAGTTGCCATGTCGTAGTTCCAAACATCTTTTGTTGTCTGTGACTTCAAATGTTGTTTTTGGGACTTTGGTTGTTTGTCAAAATACTGACGTGGTAGCAGCCGGCTGTTTCTCCTTCTCTGATATTTTTGAGCTGTGAACATCTCACACCAGTGGTGTTCTGTTGCTAAATACGAGTGTGTAATAAGTGGAGGACCCAGGGAAGTGCCGTGGTTTGGCCGGTCTGACAACTGGATGGTCCAATATTATTATTATTATTATTTTTTTCTGAGTCGTGTTTTATTTCCCTTAGGAGAGTGTGATGGAAAATAATTGAGAACCACTGCTTTATATCAACCTGTCTGATCCAGGGTTACGACATGTACTTGCTAGTTTTAGCAATGTGCTAACAGGATAAACGTTGCCATATTGGCTCAAGGGTTCAGAGTTTGACCTATAATCAGTAGTTTGGAGGTTCAAACCCAGATTCCATCCACGTCAGTTGTTGTGTCCTTGGCTGGGACATTTCACCCTCCATGCCTGCTGGTGGCGGTCAGAGGGGCCGGTGGTACCTGTGTAGGTCAGCCTCACCTTGATGACCAATATAAGCCATAGGTGAAAAGGAGACACACCTATTTTCTAATTTCCTCCATCTGAACGTCTAACTTGCTTTCGGTGGCACGCCACCAGGCTGACTGGCTCTATGAGTCAGCCGTAACTGCTCACCACACCCATTCAGCAACAGTCAGCGCTCTTGTTTGTTACTGACTGGAACAGCTTTCGGATGGTCGGATAAGTTCACCACTTATTACAAAGAGTTAAAAATGACGAATGTTAGTTCAGACTTCTTTTTAGGTGCAATAATTAAAGCAACTTAGCTAGGATTACACACTCATCTCAATGATCTTAACTGAAAACAAATCAAGGTTAAAATGAATCAAAAACCATCAATATTAATGTGATCCCTATATCTATTCTGACAATCTAACCTTATTCAGTAGATTACTGATATGCAGCGGGGAAAAAACATTGTAAAATTTTAACAAATCATTCATTTGAACCATGAATGAAAGCATATAAATGTTGTAATCTTGTCATTTTTGATATTTCAGACTTGGGTCATGCTGCAGCCACACAGCGATTTCATTCAAAGTTTAGCTCTTTGTTACAATGGGAAAAATAGAAAAGGCAGAACTTAGATATGACTAATCCGCTAACAGCAAACCAGCTAACACAGTATACTGTAGATATTAGTACTCACATAAATCAACCATGCCAGTGTAACCATAGTACATACCTTATATAAAATGAGTGCAACAAACACAAGTATTTGGGATAATGTCCCCAGTCTTTCATCAACATGTTTGGTAGCTTGCTGTTTCCAAGTTTTATTTTGACACGCTCCCTTTGGTATCTGGTAACTTTTCCGTCCAGTGTTTGTGGAAGAGTAATTCTGGCATCCAAACATGCAACAACCCAAATTTTATGCTCTTAGAACTTAAAAAAGAAAGTTTAAAATGTTATTGACTTATCATTCTTAGAGTGAGTGAAAGGGGTAGCACTTCACTTCCATCTCTAGTGGGTTCAAGAGTTCTTTTGATGACGTAGGCAGTAAAAAGGTCCTCATAGTAGGGAGTTGGTGACCTACTCAGGGTGTGTCTCACCTTTCATCTACTGACAAGTATTGCTTCACCCCATTCAATCCCCATCCCCTCCCTTTTCCTGAAATCAAGCAGCATGAAACGGATACAAAAGATAGATGCATTGATGGAAGGATGGATAGACAGACATTTTGTTATTTAAGTTGCAATTCCATTTGTACCTACTCAGCACAGCTTGTCTCAAAGTGGTTTCAAGCTATTTCCAACTGCAATGGGTACCAGGTTGCCTCCACCCCCTTCTATTTGTAAGTACCTGCTTCAATGTGGTACCAAGCGTACTAAGCCAGGCCAAAAACACGATATCGGAGACTGCTAGTCACTAATAGGCTGCCTGCTGCCTCATTGCCCGTTGCCTTTTTTGTGTTCAAAGTCTTTTTACCAAAAAGTCAGCAACTGAGCAGAGTGTGTACATTGTTACTATGTCCGCCAGCCATTGTTGTATTATGCTTTTGTGGCGCATACAGATTGCCTCAGGCTACTTTTGTGTTGGATATAGATCAAACACACAAAACATCAGGGGTCTCATTCATCAAACATTGCGTGGAATCCTTACTAAAACCGTACTTAAGCTCAACAAAAAAAATGAACTTACGCCAAGTAGGTTTGTGATCTATCAAACATGGAGTACGCACAGCTGCACGCAATCTCCGCTTCATAAATCAGAGACTAACGAGAAAGGTTCTAAACTGCTTTTTAGTCACATCCCGCCCTCACCACGCCCACTTACTGACATAATTGGTCAATGCAAAGTAACTTGTGGATCTCATGCATATACATAAGCCGGCTGTTGCACCGCTCCGCCAGTGATGATGGCAACTGTAGATCAAGGCAGATCAAGGAAGTGATAATGCTGCTGGAATTCATAATTTTAGCCTTCTCAGCAGCAGCACTGCAGGTGCTCTCCATGTCCAAAATGTGTGTAAGCAAGGTCCTTAGTCAACTTAAAGTTGTACACATTTTTCCGCTAAGTTTTCTTTCATAAATCCCAAAATTTGCGTGGAAAGTTGCTTACACAGTTTTCCGAACCTGTTTTGAGCATAAGCAAACTTTAGAAATGAGGTCCCAGTTGAATATCAGTTAAAATGGTTCTCACACATTTTTCTTAAAATCTCAGCCAATACAATGGCTTGGAGGAAAAGCAGCTAATGGACCATCCAGTTGTCAGTCTCACCGAACCACTGCACTTTCACACTTCTCTGGGTACTCCATTCATTATGCATTCACATATTAGGCAAAAGAACACCACTGGTGTGAGAGGTTCTCTGCTACATAATATCAGAGAAACAGTCGGCTGCTACCACTTCAACTTCAGGACAAACTACCAGAGTCCCAAAAAGAAAAATGCAATTTGACATTGTGGAAAACAAAAGACGTTTGGACGTAGAAAACAGGGACCGATGTTTAGCGTTCTCTCTCTTTTACTGTGGCATTGCGCATTCCCATATCAGGGGGATGTGGCCTAGGGACGATGTCGACAGGAGGGGTGAGAATTCCATGACCGTGTTTGTGTTTTTATAAGCTAGCTTGTTTTACAGATTTGCCGTTGCAGCTTTAAATGAGGTTAATGGCATCACTTAATGTGACAACTTAGACACATGCTAATGATGGTTAGCTTTAATGTGATGCTGTAGGAGTAACAGTCATGTATTTCACTGATTAAAGGAATGGTACTTGTGTTCATTCCCAGTGTGCCTTTCTGGTGTGGTGCATGGCTCCAACTCATCCCAATGGGTCAGTCCAGATTTATAACCGCATCATTCGTCCACTGTTCCTAAAGAATGAAGCCAAAATTGATGATGCTGTGAAGAACATCAAGGATAAAGCATCAGAGGCGGCTGACAAATTCAAAGAAGAAGGTATACATTGAGTTCTTCCAGCCTTTTTCCAAATGAAAGAGTTGTTTTCATAATTCTGGTCCAAAAGGCCCTCTTTTATCCTGCTTTTATGAGGTCAAACTTTGTTGAGAAGTCATGAGTTTCAACAGTTGCTGTTCTTTGTATCTTAATGTTCCCACAGCTAAGAAAGCCACAGCAAACATCATCTTTGAGGAGAAGAAGAGCTCGTAAGAATGAGGCCTTAACAAGAATCAAGTGTGTCTGTGGATGTCACGCCTTATCATGCTTCAAGTGAACCCCTCAGTGTGCCGCTCCAACTCTCTGCCTACATCACTATAAATATTGTTTAAAATGTTTCAGTTTGTCCTGAGGGCTCTTAAATAACTATCTGTGTTATTTGTGTGTATCATCAACTCAATAAAACCAAATTTGGTCAAGTTCTTCTTTATTCCTTTAAATGAGTGCAAAATGTATAAACATAATAAAAAAAAACAAATTATATAGCCCAAATTAATCTAAGCCGTATTAAGAATGTTGTTATGTTAGGATACAACGTTTTTGTTGCAAGGACTTGACACACATCTAATGATGAAGAGACAGATATTAATTCTGCTTTTACATTGCAGTGAACCACAGACTTGGAATGTTCTGATATGAAAATAAACCTTTTCTGTCCAAGGCGGCAAATGTAATACATTAACTCATCAACATGGAATATAACATTGGAACTCCTAAACAAGCATTAATTATTTCAAAATGTATAACATAATAAAAGAATAAAACAATTATATAATTGAAAAAACTAGATCATTAAGCGCACTCAATGACACTAAGAGCTTTCATCAGAGGGAGGGAAGGTGAAGGACGGCTCCAGAGTGGAGAATGTTTTTTTTAATCATCTGAGTGCAATAGTCTTACAGAGAGTCAGGATCACAATCTAATGTTGATAGTTTGGTCAGGCATCAGTGAAAATTACCTAATTTAAATTACTGTGGCTGACAGACTCATTTTGCTCTTACATGGCAAGACACTTCATGTGCAAACTAACATGTAGAAGTGTTGAGGACTTATGAGACATGAACAAAATCAGCACAGAATAAAGTCATCTCTTACAAACTCACAGTGTTGAATATAATAGCATAACTATAAAAACAGTGATAATCCATGTTTATCTGAGTAATCCCAAACAAACTAGTTGTATCTAGTGGAAATGTAGTTTCTACAATCTAAAATGATTTAAATGGTTTACTTGGTTTGTCATAATTTACACACTAAATCCTAGAGATATTTCAATAAACTGATGGGTTATCTTGTTTGTAAACCTGACAGCGCCACCTCCAGCTTAATGTTGCTCCTCAAAACCTCCTCTCCAACCTTCGGGAAACATCTCCTCTGGTCAGCTGGTCTATAGAAACATTTATGTGCCTGAAACTAATCAGCCTTTCAGTCTTGTTTGTAGAATATTATTGCTATTATTATGCTTTAATAAGCCATATTGAAAGACACCAAAAGACACAGTCACAGCTCTGACAAATGTACCTTACCAATATGGCGGCGTTTTCCACGTCAGAAACACTGGCAGAGAAGAAGAGAAAGAAGACGTTTCAGGAAGTGAGTGAAACAACATGGCATCCGGACAACAGTGGGTCTTGGTGGAGATGGTTCAAGCCTTTTATGAGGTAATATTTCTGTGTTTCGCCTCCCAGCGAGTCATGGTTCCATTAGAACTTCAACAAAGCGGTACACCTACTAAACCGAGCCGTTCAGAGGTGGAGTTTATCACCGGAAGGTGCTTGTGAGACTGTTATAACTCATCTGACATGTCCAACTTGTCCGATGGTCCTAACCCCGGAGTATGATCTCTGGATGCAAACAGGTCCGAACTGGGGTGGGAGGAGGAAGGCTTCAGTACATCTGGTGCTTTCATGTGAGAAAATGAGAGGAGAAATGAGACAAATGAATACTTAGCGGTCTGCTTTGAAGCTGTCATCTGATCCGCCCGTAGCTCGTTTCAGCCTCACGTACCACTGAAATATGTGTTCGAGTTTGATTTTACTTCAGGCTGGCATCATGAATGTTGAGGAGTACTGTCTCTTTAAATCTGAGGAGCCTGGACACCTGGATGACAGAAGAGGAAGGAGGAGGTGGCTTCTAAATTATCAGCTGATAAAGAGAACAGCTTAAACTCAAGGACTTTAGGAACAGCACAGGAGTGAGGGCCCTTCAGTAGCGCTCTAAGTACGTCCATACACGTGTGTGTGTGTGTGTGTGTGTGTGTGTGTGTGTGTGTGTGTTTTATGTTGTATGTTGACTGCTCGTCCCCTGCAACAAAACAAAGTCCTTGTGAGTGTAAAAACTGACTTGGCAGCAAACCTCATTCATTCTGATTCTGAAACACCTGCTGCTAGAAGGTCTAGTCAAGGTATTCCACCCCGTCCCTGTTGTTTCCACCAGCGTATGGCGCTTGACTTGAAGCACAATTGTTTCTGCCTTCAGATGTTTGGATTTTATAGAACATGGTTTTATTTCTTGTCTCCAGTGGACCCAGACCTGCTAACAGTCAGGAAAGCCCGTCGGATTGTATCACTAACTCATCTATCTGCCCATCTCTTTTTATGTAATATTGATTTGAAATTTGGCTACATGGTGGTGCACTTTATAGCTGCTGCCTAACCGTTAGAAAGTTGCAAGTTCAATTCCAGGCTACAAGCTTCCTGCACAAAGTTATCAAGGTCTCTCCATGCTCTCCAGGTGCTCTAGTTTCCCCTTACAGACCAAAAACATGCATGTTTAGGTTGGTGCGGGGCTCTAAATCATCCCTAGGTGTGAGTGATTGTGTAAGAAAGAAAGAATAGGATCTTTTATAAAGCGCCTCTCAAGATAGAAATCATGAGACATTTCACAAATACAAAAAAATTTAAAATATACATAAAAAAAATTTCAAAATGTATTTAAAATGAGAAAAAATATTAAACTGTGAATAAAAAATTAAGAGACAGAAAGAGAAACAGGAAAGAGGGAAATTAGTGGATCAGGGGATCCTGTGAAAAGCGGAATAAATGCAAAATAAGGAGAGGGTGGTGATGAAGGTCATGCAAAAACCAGCTTGAACTGGTGAGTTTTCAGCTGCTTTTTAAAGGAGACCACCGAGTCCACTGATGTCAGGCTCAGGGGGAGAGAGTTCCAGAGTCTGGGGGCCACCGCAGCAAATGATCTGTCACCTTTGGTCTTTAGCCTGGTGCTGCACAACCAGTAGGCTTTAATCACTGGACCTCAGGGACCTGCTGGGGGTGTAGAGTCTTAGATCACCAATGTATGATGGTGCTTGTCCATGTAAGGCCCTATAGACCTGGGGCCCTTTTTATCAAGCTTGCTTACGCACAAAACGGGGTTGGAAAACTGCGTAAGCAACTTTCCACGCAAACTTTGGGATTTATGAAAGACAATTTAGCGGAAAAATGTGCGCAACTTTAAGTTGACTAAGGACCTGGCTTATGCACATTTTGGACATGGAGAGCACCTGCAGTGCTGCTGCTGAGAATGATAAAATTATGAAATCCTGCAGCATTATCACTTGTACTGCTTCGTTTTCACACAGAACAAGAGCCCCCACACGCACGCACACACACACACACATGCACGCACACACATACACACAGCCTGAAGCGCAGAATACGGAATGCAGAATGTCAGCAGGGGGACAGATTAAGACAGAATGTCATGCGTCTGTGACAGTGTGTGTGTCGTGTCACTGTGATTCGATTGATCATGCGCCCTGGCTACCTGTACAAGGGAGATCTCTGTTTGGGTGACTGGGTAGCACGCATGACTTTCACCTGGGAGTCTGGGGATCGAATCCCGATTGGACAATTTTTTTATATCCACCACAGATCTCTCTGAAGAATTCACAACATTGACGGCTTCAGCAACGCTGTGCCACTCCATGGATTTCCTCTTATTTGTTTTGCAAAAGCACTTCCTTTCATTTCTCCACCTCACCCACAAGTACCTCAATTTCTGCTTCTGTGAAATTGTGCTTCCTTGATCTGCCTTGATCTACGGTTGCCATCGTCATTGGCGGAGCGCTGCAACAGCCGGCTTATGTATATGCATGAGGTCCACAAGGCACTTTGCATTGACTATTTATGGCAGTAAGTGGACGTGGTGAGGGCGGGATGTGACTAAAAAGTAGCTGAGAACCTTTCTAGATAGTTTCCGATTTATGAAGCGGAGATTGCGTTCAGCTGTGTGTACTCCATGCTTGATCGATCACAAACCTCCTTGGCGTAAGTACATTTTTTTTGCTGAGCTTAATTACGGGTTTAGTAAGGATTCTACGCAATGTTTGATAAATGACCCCAGAACCAGGATCTTGAAATGAACCCTGAAGTTGACTGGCAGCCAGTGAAGCTGGAGGAGAAGCGGGGTGATGTGGGTGTGTTTGGAGGACTTGGTCAGAAGCCGAGCACAGGCATTCTGAACCACCTGTAGACCGTTAGGGAGGTTTTGCTCAGACACGTGAAAAGAGAGTTACAGTAGTCTAAGCGTGAGGAGATGAAGGTGTGGATAACTGTCTCAAGTTCGGAGCAGGACAGAATGTGACTCAGCTTAGCAATGTTCCTGAGATGGAAGAAGGAAGAGCGAACAAGAGAACTGACATGAGAATCCAGGGTGATAGCTGGGTCAAAGGTCACGCCAAGATTCCTGATGGAAGGTTTGGTGTGAGAAGCAAGCTGACCAAGAGAGACTCTGACTTTGGGAACCAGCTTGTCTGGGGCACAGATGAGGATCTCAGTCTTATCTTCATTCAGCTGAAGAAAGCTCCCAGCCATCCAGGTTTTGATAGAGTCTAAGCAGGTGTGTAACAGCTGCAGCTTAGACATCTCATGGGGCTTAAAGGAGATGTACAGTTGGATGTCATCTGCATAAAGATGGTAGGAGATTCCTTTGAAGGAGTTCAGGATGTGCTGAAGAGGAAGCAGATAGAGGAGGAAGAGCAGAGGCCCCAGCACAGAACCTTGTGGGACACCATGGTTATGTGAGGTAGAGGAGGACCTAAACTTGGAGACCGCCACAGAGAGGGAACATTCAGACAGATAAAAGGAGAACCACTCCAGAGCAGATCCTGATCGGCCTACCCAGTCTCTCAGCCTCTCCAGTAGCAGGTGATGGTCAACGGTGTCAAAGGCTGCAGTCAGGTCCAGCAGGACCCCTGCATCACTGTGGGTCAGAAGGTCATTAGAGACCCTAAGAAGAGCTGTTTCAGTAGAGTGAGTTCTACGGTAACCTGACCGGAAACTATCATAGATGTTATGTTCATCAAGAGCAGCTGTGAGCTGTTTAGCCACAACCTTTTCCAAAACTTGGAGATGAACGGAAGTTTAGAGATGGGTCTGAAGCTGCTATGAAGAGAGGGGTCAAGACTTGTTTTTTAAGAAGCGGGTGGATTACAGCGTTCTTAAAGTAAGCAGGGACCTGACCAGAAACCAGAGAAGCATTAATTATAGAGAGCACGCTGGGACCGATGGACAGAAAAGCACTTTTAAACAAAGATGAGGGTAAGGTGTTGAGGGGGCATGCAGAGGTCCGTTCTGCCGATCTTTCAGCCTACCTAAACCACCACTCTCCTGCTGACCTTTCTGCTCCAGGCTCCTGCATACCATCTGATTCTGGAGGGAATTCTAATACTGTGGATCATTCGGCTTCTGTTCTCTAAGACCTACAAACTTCCTGAGACCTACAAACTAACAGAGAAGGTAAACTTAGCACAGATTTCTCTGGTCTTCAGGCTTTTGGTCCACCAATCAGCTGACGTGTTTTTCTCTTTCAGGAAAAGGAGGACCTGATTGAGGAATGGCAGCCAGAGCCTCTGGTTCCTCCAGTCTCCAAAGAGCACCCTGCCATCACCTATGATGTTGTCACAGGGTAAAATACCCTTATGTAGAGTAACCAATCCACCTCACATGCAGTTGAAGTATTTATGATCATGATGGAGAAGTTTATCATCCTTGGTCCAGATGTTGTTATTTAGACTACATACCTTCTGACACCAGGGTCCCATCAGCTCCTCGAGATGAGATCAGATCTCAACTGGTCTGGGTTTGAGACCCATTTAATGACAAGCCGTGACCCAAGTCAAGAAAAACTTTCAACTGCTCAAATTTATTTAATGGAAAGTTTTTAATTTGATATTGACCAGAAGTAGCAGTTACATGCACTACTTTGAAATAAAAGTGCTACAGCTGAGTAACCTGGCCTGCCAGACTCGTCCGTCCGCTAAGGAAGCATGGGGCTGGCTGGTCAGGCTAACAGTTGAGTATAATTGTGTCCTACTTTGTGTTGTAAAATTGCTTTGCTGCTCTCACGTTGCTGCTGGCTGTTCATCACACCAGCCCTCTAAATGACAGCACACCTCCCGTTCACCCGTCGTCCTGGGGGGGGGGGGGGGCATGGGGTTCGGGGGCCTCAAAGAGGCCGCCTATTGAGGACCACTGTTTTAGCACATACTGACTCAAGAAAATATGAAAAGGTTGCAAAGTATCTTTTGAAAATGGTTGTGCTAATCAATGACGGCACGCTCCCTTATATGGACGTGCTCTGGAGAAAAGTTGAGGTGGAGACATGGCACGACTCACAACGTAAATCTATTTCTGGAAGTTCCAACTACCGTGTTACGTAAAGCACGTGCACTGGTACCTCGGCCGTGGAGATGAACAGATAAACAGAGTAGCTTTCCCAGTTCTGCAGGCTTTATTGATGTGGAGAAGCTTCTGGTCGCATGAATCATAGTTAATACACATTGCTATAGATCAGGGGTAACCAAACTTAGTGAATCTGAGAGCTACTTCACAATTATTGAGCCATGCAAGGGCTACGAGGTTGATATAATGGTGACCTTTGAACTGGAATAGATCAGACTTAAGCTAAACTTCATGTATAATAAACATATTTTAATGTTTTTTTAAAGAAATGTGTAGTTTTTTAATTTATATTAATGCCTTTGTGATTATAAAAGATGGTAGCAGACATTTTTTATGTAATTTTACACTTATGCTATTTGAACAAAAGCCTGTGGGTCACAAGCCTGGTGTCTGGGGGCAACATGGTGCCCCCAGGCTGGTGCCCCCTGCTATAAATGTTTAGGTAATCCAGAATATAATCTAGGGACAGGCAATCTCACAGTGGTTGCAGCAGAAATGACATGTCACCAAGCACATGCTACAGTAGATCTGGTGGATACAAAAACAAGCCAGGTCTTCATCTCCACATAAGACTCAGAGATAGGAGCAGACAGGAGTACAAGCAGTTTAGCCAGTGATTCCTATCATAGGAAAACGGGATTTCCTCATTCAACTGGAGGTTGTATGATGGTTTGTTCCTCAGAGGGTCCCTGGTTGATGTTTTAACCGGTTGAGTTTTAACAATGCAACTGGATTCATTTTAATTGTGTTTAAGTTCTCAGAGAACTTTGGTTTCAGTTTGCTGCTAATTAAAAAGGTTTTGTACAGAAGATAAGTGTTCATGTGCCGTAGCTAAGAACAGACACTGCTGGTTCTGGTCTAGACAGGAAATTGTTAAGACAGAAAGTCCCTAGTTCATCTGACCTAAAATGACTTTGACTGTTTATTTTATTTACAAACGTGGTGCTAACAGGTCAGTTAGCGTGTTAACTTATTGCTAGTTCTCTAGAAAGAGCTAGATGCATGTTGTGAATGTTTTCCTGTTAAAAAAACACCACAGCTGTGATTCTTCAGCTACATAAATGCTAAGTTGAGTTTTCATTTCAGACCTCCCAGCCATAAAATCATCATCAATGGAAAGGAGTGTGTGAACTTTGCTTCTTTCAACTTCCTGGGTCTGCTGGACAACGAGCGCGTTAAGGTCTCAACTCCCCTCCAACGCTTTTCCTCACCAATGAACAAGTTCATAAGCTTTGTTTCTGTGTTACAGGAGAAAGCTCTGGCCTCGCTAAAAAAGTATGGTGTTGGTACCTGTGGTCCACGGGGATTCTACGGGACCTTTGGTGAGTAGACTCGGCTGCATCTGGTGCTTCATCAACTAGAATAGATTTTAATGCTCCAGTCCGAGAGGCCTTCTGGCAAGCCCTGTGCAATGTTTGCCCCTCTGATCAGCTCGATGATGTTGGTGCTCTGTTGCAGTGGATCTAGTCATCCTCATGTTGGATTTTAAAGTGTTTTGTGTGGTTTCTGCTTCCTAGATGTTCACCTGGAGCTGGAGAGCCGTCTGGCTGCATTCATGAAGACAGAAGAGGCCATCATCTACTCATATGGCTTTGCCACCATAGCCAGTGCAATCCCTGCCTACTCCAAGAGGGGCGACATCATCTTTGTGTGAGTGTTGGGCGGTTAAACTGTTGTAATTTTCTACTTGTTGAAGGAGAAATACCGACATCCTCGGGAGGATAAAAAATTTCAGCAATTCCAAAAATGGGTAAATATAAATGCGGTTCACGCTGCCCAGCTTTGTCATGTGGTACTCTTTTGACCCACGGCATGCAGAATCAGAGGCGGAAACAACAGAAGCGGAGCTGATGAGCTTCTATATAAAATTTAGATGATTAACTCATGAAGGCATAAATCCAGACATAATAAACGATTAAACTGGGTTTTAAAAACCAGACAAATGCAACACAATTATAGGAAAATGTGAACCTGGCAGATAAATCAGTTATAATACGAAGTCGGTTTATATCAGGCTGGATGCAGAAAAAGCTCTGTTCTAAGAGACTGACCAGGACTTCTTCAGACACCTTAGATCAGTGTTCCCCAACCCTGCTCCTCAGGTCCCACTGTCCTGCATGTCTCTGCTTCAGCACACCTGATTTGCATATTTGCATCGCCTCCTCTGGACATCAAGTGTTGCAGATGCCTGTTAATCATTAATTTGAGTCAGGTGCGTGGCAGCAGGGAAACACTGGTGTTTGAAAGGGTAACGTGGAAAACAGGACAGTGGGGCCCTGAGGATCAGGGTTGAGAAGCACTGCCTTAGATCAGGGGCCTTCGGTTCTGGGCCTGGAGGGCCGGACTCCGGCAGGTTTTAGTTTTAACTCTGCTTCAACACACCTGACTTCAATCAGCAGGTAATTAACAGGTTTCTGCAGAGCCTGATGAGCTGCTGCACAGGTGATTCAGCCACTGAATCAATCAAGTGTGCTGGGGCAGAGAAACCACTAAGGCCTAGTCCACACGTAGCTGGGTTTTAAAAAAAAAAACGAATATCCGCCCTTCCAAAAACTTGCATCCACACCACCTCGTTTTAAACAAAAACTCTGTCCACACGTACCCGGATAAATACGTTGTTAAGGACATGCCAGACCTGTAGGCGGCAGTACTTCCCCCGTTCTTAACCTCGTCCTTCGTCTGTGGTCTTCCGCAAGGAGCAGTAATTCCGCTTGCAAAAACAAACAAGCAGAAAGCGCTTGGACAATTGATAAAGCGAGCGCAGCTCTGAGGGCATCCATGCTGTCGGCTAGTGTAAACACAGGTCGCACACGTGATGTCAGCATTTTTTTGTCGCGGAAAGTGACGTTGCGGACCTTAAAACTCCGGTTTTGTCTGTCCACACGCAGACACCCAAAACGGAGAAAACGCAGATCTTCTCTTTGGCCGGAGTTTTTAAAAAGATCCGTTTTCGTGTGAAAAAACTCAGTTTTCGTGTGGATGACAGGCCAAAACGTAGAAAAATATCTACGTTTTGGCAGATCCCGGCTACGTGTGGACAGGGCCTAAAACAAGCTGGATACCGGCCCTCCAGGCCTGGAAACGAATAGCCCCGCCTTAGATGGTGGGCCAGCAGTGAAATAACAACTAAGCAACACAGACTTAATCCACCTTTTCAATGACACAGAAAATGAAAGATCTTCCCTTCTACTTGTTATTGCCATAGTGTGTTTATCTGTAATCTTGTTATTATTTGTTCTTCCTTTTCTCTAAGTGTGTGTGCTGCTGTAGCAAGAGACTTTCCCCACTGTGGGATTAATAAAGTATATTCTGTCCTATTCCTATCTCATAAGGCACCTTATTAGCTTATCCTGTTCCTCTTGTGTTTAATGTCCGTATTTTCTATTTTTGTCTTTCACTAAATTGTGGTGCTCCTTCCTTCTGTATTTTTCGAAAATGGCGTGATAAAGCTGCAGTTTAAAAACCAGCTGTGTTGGGAGACATCCCCAGGTGTGCTTCTGGGCTCATCAGCTCTCTGCTGCCTGCACTGAACGTGACTGTCATGTTTCACAAGATTTGTCTCATTGTGTTTGTGTCCAGAGATGAAGCAGCCTGTTTCTCCATCCAGAAAGGTCTCCAGGCATCTCGTAGCTTCATCAAGTACTTCAAACACAATGATATGGAGGATCTGGAGCGGCTGCTAAAGGAGCAGGAGCTGGAGGACCAGAAGGTTGGTTCTGTGTGACAGTCTGGACCCTTTATGAGTACTTTATCTGTAAACTCTCTGACCCTCACAGCTTGTTTTGGGTTTGTTTCAGAATCCTCGTAAAGCTCGTGTGACGAGGAAGTTTATAGTGGTTGAGGGACTCTACATGAACACCTCAGACGTGTGTCCATTACCTGACCTGGTAAGTTCTGCTCTTTGAGTCTTTTCTCTGTGGAGAGTCTGGGATGCACATATCACACTAGTTGCTCCTCATTAGTGAAAACACCATCTAAAGTACGTGGTTTTCTGACTGCTGCTTACCTGCAGGTGAAGCTCAAGTATAAGTATAAAGTGCGGATCTTTCTGGAGGAGAGCTTGTCGTTTGGTGTGCTGGGAGAACATGGTAAAGGAGTCACAGAGCACTTTGGGGTCAATGTGAGTACTCTGTTGTCCGACATGAGCTGGGTTCATCTAGTCTTGATCTGGGAGAGTGTGAGATAACAACCAAGACTTTGGTGCTTCCTGCAGATGGATGACATTGACCTGATCAGTGCCAACATGGAGAATGCTGTGGCCTCTATTGGAGGCTTCTGCTGCGGACGCTCCTTTGTCATCGACCATCAGGTGATGATTAGCTGTTCTGGGCTGACTAGTGTAGACCTGGCCATTATTCCAACATTCACTCACTGTGACCATTGACTGCACATATAAGATGGATGAACCCTCTGCGCTATCACCCGTGGGTTTCTGAAGAGCTGAAGTGAAGCTCAGTGGTCGATTTCCACCACTGCCATCTTGGCCCATGTCACACGACTCGTCACTCCTGGAAAATACAAAAATTGAGCTCAGAGTGGGCTGTGAGGCTGGGGGCAGATGATCGACACCCAAAAAACTCCGAGATGATGTAGCTACGAGCTAACTAAGCTAACAGAAGATGTATCAGGGTGCATTTAGCCAGAAAAATGCAGATGAGCGACTCTGCTACCTTCTGCCTTCTAGGCAAGACAGCGTTATTTATAGAGCACATTTCAACACAGAGGCAATTCAATGGGCTTTACAATTATCAGGACATGTTATGAAAACAACATAACAACACAATTAAAATACACACAGATAGAATTACAGTTTAGAGGTAAAGGAGAAGACAAAATTACAGGGCAGGTTACAGCCTCCATCACTTAACATGAGGCCGAAGCTGAGGAATCCCTGGAGTAAGCAGTAGTGAACGACGGGAGCCGTCCCCTCCCCCCTTCCCCCCTGCCTTGGTGAAAGCTACAGGCGATTGGTCAACATGTGTAACTGTGTGTCCAGACTGTCCACACACAGAGCAGTAGGGGCAGGGAAGAGGGAGGATCATACTCAGAAAGACACACAGCAGAGCACATGTGGGAGGAGGGAGACGAGAGGGAATGAGGAGGAGGAAAAAGGCGAGCGAGAGGGAGGAGAGCGCGACGAAGACGGTGAGAAAATGAGCGCCAGCAGTCAGAAAGTGGAGATTTCTTAAAGTGTTCAGTTATTAAATCCATAGAAATGATAAATATTTGATATATTGCTTTTTTTAAACATTATTTGACATATATTTTAGCATTATTTTGGTTATAAATGTACTCTACGCAACAGAAAATCTGAGGAGCCACTTGGGAGCCGAAAGAGCCGGCTCTTTTTGGTGAGCTGAGCCAAAAGAACCGACTCTCTAAAAAGAGCCGCAATTCCCATCACTAGTAAGCAGTGGAGCAAGCTGCTGGTGCTACTGCTAACAGCTCATCTGCTACCTAACAGACATGCACCTAAGTCAGAGGCGGTTTTACCATTAGGCATAGGTAGGCGGCCTCCTGGGGCCCCCATGTGTTGGGGGGCCCCCTAGCCCTGACCACCGGCACCCCTCTGTTAACGCCACAACATTATTACCAACCTGTGGCCGCAGACGGGATTGGACATGCACATTTCTCATTACCATAATTCCTGAACCGTTGAAGATATCATTAAAATTCCAAAAGTGCTGAAAAGATTAAAAGTGGGGCTTTTCGTGCATATACAATACATTACGGTAGCCACCGGGATTCCCTGTTTTGAGCGCAACGAATCACAACACAGATTGAGAGACGTGCTGAGTCATCCAAAATGTTCACGTTTATAACTTTTGAATGGCTGATCTGATCCAAGAAATTCCAACGGTTCCTAAAAGTACATAAAAGCAGCTTTCCAACGATCTATAGCATGAAGCAATCAGAGATAGGGAAAATATTGCTACGAGGGGAAATCCTGCTGTACAGCCTGATTGAAACGGAGCGCAGCACCGCGGTGAAAGCGGATAACGGAACGGGGAAGCTAATCAGCATAAAAACCAGCATGAAATTATGGAAATGCCTCAAAGAAAATCAACACGATCTGTTAGGTGTCCCAGAAGGCTTATATCTGAAGACAGTGACCACGAAGAAAGACAGATCTCCGGTGAACCAGGATATGAACGTTTGTTCAGTCTTTATTATTATTTTTTTTTTTTTTTGAACAACCCTCAACTATTTGCTAATTGTAAGATTCAGCATCATTCCAGCATTATTTATCTTTTTACAATAAATAATTATTTTTGCTAAAACAAAAGCTTTTGGTATAGCAGTGCACGGTGTGCCAGAGAAGCACCCCATGGCGGTGTGAGGTGTGCAGGACTCTGCCTGCAGCTGGAGAGAAACTGCTTCAAGGTCTACCACATCAAATAAAAACATCTGAAAGTTTACAAAAATAAAGTCTTAAAAACTGCTAAAAAAGATACCAAGGTTCACACTTTTTTAAGAATAGATGCATTACAGTTCAAAGTTTAAATTGTTTGCCCAGTCATTTTGAAGTTCCTTTACAGTAATAACTGTAAAAAATTCAAATCCGTTTTTTTTTCACTTTTAAGCTGATTTTTAAAGGCTTTAATAGAAATAAATTCTAAATAGAAGAAGAAGAAAATATCATTTCTATAGCGCCTCAAGATAAAAATCACGAGGCGCTTCACATAAACAAAAAATATATATAAAAAAGCATTTAGAAAATGTTTAAAAATATATTTAAAATGAGCAAAAAATAGGCAATTGTGATTTAAAAGAAAAAATGTTAAAAGAGAGAGAGAGTGAATAGGAAAGAGGGAAATCAGTGGACCCTGAGGAAGGTGGAATAGGTGGGGAGAGCAGAAAAAAGAGAGGGGTGAAGAAGGTCATACAAAAGCCAGCTTGAACAAGTGAGTTTTCAGCTGCTTTTTGAAGGAGACCACTGAGTCCACTGATCTCAGGCTCAGGGAGAGAGAGGTCCAGAGTCTGGGGGTCACAGCAGCAAATGACCTGTCACCTTTGGTCTTTAGCCTGGTGCGCTGCACAACCAGTAGGCTTTGATCACTGGACCTCAGGGACCTGCTGGGGGCATAGGGACTAAGAAGATCACCAATGTAAGATGGTGCTTGTCCATGTAAGGCCCTGTAGACCAGAACCAGGATCTTGAAATGAACCCTGAAGTTGACTGGCAGCCAATGAAGCTGGAGGAGAAGTGGCTTCACGTTTCTTTTCATGAATTGTTGAAGTGGTTTGGAAATACAAACCATACACTGAAAGCTGAGGTTGTTCTGAAAAAAGGAGAAGAGTTACACACACTTTGCACTTTTTATTACAATTTTACAGCCATAAGATTAAAAAATACCAGGCGGCCCTGTTATAATTATGGTCATAAGAGGGTTATTAAGACCGTGATGCACAAACAGGAAGTGATTGGTAGTCATTCCACTCCAATCCAGTTGGTGGCGGTAATGCACCAAATTGTTGTTTGCCAAGTCCCATAAGACCACAAATAATAAGAAGAAGAGAGGCGGGAGCGTTCGTAACAAACGCAAAGTGATAGTCAAACATTAAGCATGAAATGGAGTTATCCTAGTGGCTCCAATAAGAGAAAGAAGCATCATGCTTCATAAAAGCTTTTATCTTCACTTCTGAAAGTGACGTCGTTTTTCGATGTAAACATCAAAAGGAAGCAGAAAAGGAAAGACAATGGAAAACGTTTAAAGGGAGGAAACCATAGACTAAAATGGAAAATAGAAAAAAACTAAGGCTAAAGCACAGGAGCACTGACAGGAAGAAGAAAGCAGAGCAAATATTGAAGGCACTCAAAGGGAGGGAAGTACAGGAAAAAAGAGGAGGACTAATAAAAAGGGAAAATAACTCATGTCAGAAGAGGGGAGAGTTTCGCAAATCCAGTTAAAGGCAAGATTGTCGAAAATTTAGTGTAAGGGGCCCCATGTCTGTGTTCGCCTTGGGCCCCCAAATTGATAAATCCGCCCCTGACCTAAGTATTTGTAATTTCAAGCTTTAATTACATGTAAACAGGTGAGTTACAACCACCCCAGAGTTGTCACAACAGTAAACTAGATTTATTAAACCAAAAATGTTTTCGTAACCATTCTGTAAACATGTTTATTTCTTCTGTGAAGTTAGCATTTTAACATGGGAACCTGCTCCTTTCCGGAGCCAGCCCCTAGCGGACGAGGGAGGAATTGCAATTGTTGTCACTTCATATTTTACCTCTTGATTAGGTCTAAAAAAACTTCTGTGGAACCAGAATCTTCTTCTTAGGGGGTCAGCCATAATCCAGTGTAACATGTATAATATGTCTGTCTTCACGTGTGGACATGTTAATTGGTACCATTAGCTGGTTTTACAACAGATTTCTTGGCTTACTCAAAGTGATTCTGGTGAGAACTGAATCATATTGTGTTCAGCAGCTGTTTCAGGACATTCTGTAGATGGATGACTTCCGTTTTATAAACCAGTTATTTGTTTCCGAGTTTCAACAGAAATAGAAATCTGCTTTTTTGTCTGTTTCAGCGTCTGTCGGGACAGGGATACTGCTTCTCTGCCTCTTTGCCACCGATGCTGGCTGCTGCAGCCATTGAGGCTCTGAACATCATGGAGGAGGATCCAGGTACCTCAATGCTGTGTCCTTTGAATACTGCATAATGTTCAAGTTGATCTGAGGGTTATTTTCTGATGAAGATGGGTTTTTCTGTCTCTTGTTCTGCAGATATTTTCACTGTCTTGAGAAAAAAGTGTGAGCATGTTTACAGTGCTCTACAAGGGTAAGTTTATCAGTGCCAAACTGGCATTGTGGTATCAGTAAAACACAAACAGATTTTTAAATATTTGATTTAAAAGAGACAGGGTGTGAGTTGTGGCCTGTGGGCCTGATGTGGATTATTTAGCTATTTAATCTGGCCATGAGATCATATTTGAAATGTGTTAGAACTGTTTGTGGCTGTACTATATACCACTAAACCAACACGTAATAATAATAATGATAATAATAACATAACAATACATTTTATTTGAAGCACCTTTCTAAAAACTCAAGGTAAAAGGAAATAAAATTTAAAAAATGACTCAAACCAGTTAGCCACCCTTTGCTGTGATCACTCTGATTACTGCTTTGCACACGCTTGGCATTCTTTCGATAAGCTTCAAGAGGTAGTCACCTGGAATGGTTTTCCAACAGACTTGAAGGTGTACCTCTTGAAGCTCATCAAGAGAATGCCAAAAGTGTGCAAATCAGTAATCAGAGCAAGGGGTGGCTGTTTTGAAGAAGATAGAATATAAAACATGTTTTCAGATATCTCACCTTATTTGGTTAAGTACAAAACTCCACATGTGTTCATTCATAGTTTTGATGCCTTCAGTGAGAATGGTCATGAAAATAAAGACAACACATAGAATGAGAAGGTGTGTTCAAAATTTTGGCCTGTACTGTATATTGTGTTTAGACCTGTGACATGCTGACCTGTAACAGGTTTACAGGGAGAGCAGAATTATTAGGCAAATGAGTATTTTGTCCACATCATCCTCTTCATGCATGTTGTCTTACTCCAAGCTGTGTAGGCTCGAAAGCCTACTACCAATTAAGCATATTAGGTGATGTGCATCTCTGTAATGAGAAGGGGTGTGGTCTAATGACATCAACACCCTATATCAGGTGTGCATAATTATTAGGCAACTTCCTTTCCTTTGGCAAAAGAAGGACTTGACAGGCTCAGAAAGGTCAAAAATAGTGAGATATCTTGCAGAGGGATGCAGCAGTCTTAAAACTGCTAAGCTTCTGAAGCGTGATCATCGAACAATCAAACGTTTCATTCAAAATAGTCAACAGGGTCGCAAGAAGCGTGTGGACAAACCAAGGCGCAAAATAACTGCCCACGAACTGAGAAAAGTCAAGCGTGCAGCTGCCAAGATGCCACTTGCCACCAGTTTGGCCACATTTCAGAGCTGCAACATCACTGGAGTGCCCAAAAGCACAAGGTGTGCAACACTCAGAGACACGGCCAAGGTAAGAAAGGCTGAAAGACGACCACCACTGAACAAGACACACAAGCTGAAACGTCAAGACTGGGCCAAGAAATATCTCAAGACTGATTTTTCTAAGGTTTTATGGACTGATGAAATGAGAGTGAGTCTTGATGGGCCAGATGGATGGGCGCGTGGCTGGACTGGTAAAGGGCAGAGAGCTCCAGTCCGACTCAGACGCCAGCAAGGTGGAGGTGGAGTACTGGTTTGGGCTGGTATCATCAAAGATGAGCTTGTGGGACCTTTTCGGGTTGATGATGGAGTCAAGCTCAACTCCCAGTCCTACTGCCAGTTTCTGGAAGACACCTTCTTCAAGCAGTGGTACAGGAAGAAGTCTGCATCCTTCAAGAAAAACATGATTTTCATGCATGATTTTCATGCAGGACAATGCTCCATCACACGCGTCCAAGTACTCCACAGCATGGCTGGCAAGAAAGGGTATAAAAGAAGAAAAACTAATGACATGGCCTCCTTGTTCACCTGATCTGAACCCCATTGAGAACCTGTGGTCCATCATCAAATGTGAGATTTACAAGGAGGGAAAACAGTACACCTCTCTGAACAGTGTCTGGGAGGCTGTGGTTGCTGCTGCACGCAATGTTGATGGTGAACAGATCAAAACACTGACAGAATCCATGGATGGTAGGCTTTTGAGTGTCCTTGCAAAGAAAGGTGGCTATATTGGTCGCTTATTTGTTTTTGTATTGTTTTTGAATGTCAGAAATGTATATTTGTGAATGTGGAGATGTTATATTGGTTTCACTAGTAAAAATAAATAAATGAAATGGGCATATATTTGTTTTTAAGTTGCCTAATTATTATGCACAGTAATAGTCACCTGCACACACAGATATCCCCCTAAAATAGCTAAAACTAAAAACTACTTCCAAAACCATTCAGCTTTGATATTAATGAGTTTTTTGGGTTCATTGAGAACATGGTTGTTGTTCAATAATACAATTATTCCTCAAAAATACAACTTGCCTAATAATTTTGCACTCCCTGTAGACCTGTGACATGTTCGCCTGTCACGGGTTTAGACCTGTGATGTGTTGACCTGGAACAGGTTTAGACTTGTGACATGTTGACCTGGAACAGGTTTAGACTTGTGACATGTTCGCCTGTCACGGGTTTAGACCTGTGATGTGTTGACCTGGAACAGGTTTAGACTTGTGACATGTTGACCTGTAACAGGTTTAGACCTGTGACGTGTTGTCCTGTAACAGGTTTAGACCTGTGACGTGTTCGCCTGTAACGGGTTTAGACCTGTGATGTGTTGACCTGGAACAGGTTTAGACTTGTGACATGTTGACCTGTAACAGGTTTAGACCTGTGACGTGTTGTCCTGTAACAGGTTTAGACCTGTGACGTGTTCGCCTGTAACGGGTTTAGACCTGTGACATGTTGACCTGTAACAGGTTTAGACCTGTGACGTGTTCGCCTGTCACGGGTTTAGACCTGTGATGTGTTGACCTGGAACAGGTTTAGACTTGTGACATGTTGACCTGTAACAGGTTTAGACCTGTGACGTGTTGTCCTGTAACAGGTTTAGACCTGTGACGTGTTCGCCTGTAACGGGTTTAGACCTGTGACATGTTGACCTGTAACAGGTTTAGACCTGTGACATGTTGACCTGTAACAGGTTTAGACCTGTGACGTGTTGTCCTGTAACAGGTTTAGACCTGTGACGTGTTGTCCTGTAACAGGTTTAGTCCTGTGACGTGTTCGCCTGTAACGGGTTTAGACCTGTGACGTGTTCGCCTGTCACGGGTTTAGACCTGTGACGTGTTGATCTGTAACAGGTTTAGACCTGTGACGTGTTGTCCTGTAACAGGTTTATACCTGTGACGTGTTCGCCTGTCACGGGTTTAGACCTGTGACGTGTTCGCCTGTCACGGGTTTAGGCCTGTGACGTGTTGATCTGTAACAGGTTTAGACCTGTGACGTGTTCGCCTGTAACGGGTTTAGACCTGTGACATGTTGACCTGTAACAGGTTTAGACCTGTGACGTGTTGTCCTGTAACAGGTTTGGACCTGTGACGTGTTCGCCTGTCACGGGTTTAGACCTGTGACGTGTTGACCTGTCACAGGTTTAGACCTGTGACGTTTTGACCTGTCACGGGTTTAGACCTGTGACATGTTGACCCGTAACAGGTTTAGACCTGTGACGTGTTGTCCTGTAACAGGTTTAGACCTGTGACGTGTTCGCCTGTCACGGGTTTAGACCTGTGACGTGTTGACCTGTCACAGGTTTAGACCTGTGACGTGTTGACCTGTAACAGGTTTAGACCTGTGACATGTTGACCTGTAACAGGTTTAGACCTGTGACGTGTTGTCCTGTAACAGGTTTAGACCTGTGACGTGTTGTCCTGTAACAGGTTTAGACCTGTGACGTGTTCGCCTGTCACGGGTTTAGACCTGTGACGTGTTCGCCTGTCACAGGTTTAGACCTGTGACGTGTTGACCTGTCACGGGTTTAGACCTGTGACATGTTGACCCGTAACAGGTTTAGACCTGTGACGTGTTGTCCTGTAACAGGTTTAGACCTGTGACGTGTTCGCCTGTCACGGGTTTAGGCCTGTGACTTGTTGACCTGTAATAGGTTTAGACCTGTGACGTGTTCGCCTGTAACAGTTTAGACCTGTGACATGTTGACCTGTAACAGGTTTAGACCTGTGACGTGTTGTCCTGTAATAGGTTTAGACCTGTGACGTGTTCGCCTGTCACGGGTTTAGACCTGTGACGTGTTGACCTGTCACGGGTTTAGACCTGTGACATGTTGACCTGTAACAGGTTTAGACCTGTGACGTGTTCGCCTGTCACGGGTTTAGACTTGTGATGTGTTGACCTGGAACAGGTTTAGACTTGTGACATGTTGACCTGGAACAGGTTTAGGCTTGTGACATGTTCGCCTGTCACGGGTTTAGACCTGTGCTGTGTTGACCTGGAACAGGTTTAGACTTGTGACATGTTGACCTGTAACAGGTTTAGACCTGTGACGTGTTGTCCTGTAACAGGTTTAGACCTGTGACGTGTTCGCCTGTCACAGGTTTAGACCTGTGACATGTTGACCTGTAACAGGTTTAGACCTGTGACGTGTTGTCCTGTAACAGGTTTAGACTTGTGACATGTTGACCTGTAACAGGTTTAGACCTGTGACATGTTGACCTGTAACAGGTTTAGACCTGTGACGTGTTCGCCTGTCACGGGTTTAGACCTGTGACATGTTGACCTGTAACAGGTTTAGACCTGTGACGTGTTGTCCTGTAACAGGTTTAGACCTGTGACGTGTTGTCCTGTAACAGGTTTAGACCTGTGACGTGTTCGCCTGTCACGGGTTTAGACCTGTGACGTGTTGACCTGTCACAGGTTTAGACCTGTGACGTGTTGACCTGTCACGGGTTTAGACCTGTGACGTGTTGACCTGTAACAGGTTTAGACTTGTGACGTGTTGAACTAACGGGTTTAGACTTGTGACGTGTTGACCTGGAACAGGTTTAGACCTGTGACGCGTTGACCTGGAACAGGTTTAGACCTGTGACGTGTTGACCTGGAACAGGTTTAGACTTGTGACGTGTTGACCTGGAACAGGTTTAGACCTGTGACGCGTTGACCTGGAACAGGTTTAGACCTGTGACGCGTTGACCTGTAACAGGTTTAGACTTGTGACGTGTTGACCTGGAACAGGTTTAGACTTGTGACGTGTTCGCCTGTAACAGGTTTAGACCTGTGACGTGTTGTCCTG